AGATATTCATAATGAATATATAAGATATCGAGTTAAAAAACGAACATAGAGCGAGGGCAAAGTTTCGATATCTTCCACCCTTTGAAGTGGTGACTCCGCGTCCCGAGACGAAAATATAAATTTCCACATACGTATGCTTTATTAGAGTTCCTGTCTAAGGATAACAGTCTAGCCGGGCAGAGGGTCCGTTTCGTTGCGTAATGAGAGATTTTATCGCGCTTACAGGGATAGGGCGGGGCGACCGCACTCATGCATTATCACCCCACTTCTGTCTGACGGATTACTTTATACGGTCACTGTACATAAAGACAGAGAGAGAGAGAGAGGGAGAGAGAGAGGGAACGGTCGCAAGTGGTATCGTGGCGTCGAGCACTAAAGAGCGCTTGCGAAACTACTCTCTTCCTCGGCATTGCTCCTGCCGCCTCTAAAGCCTCGATAAAAACTGTCGGCGTCTGCTGGGTCTGCCCGACGCGACGCAAGCCAGATTATCGGGCCGTGTATCGCGAGGCCGAATGTGCCCCACCGCGATTCCTTTCGCGTTCGCACCCCCCGCCCGGTTCGAGGGTGAACAGAGGTATTAATCTCGAGAAAAGTGGAAAATTTTCTCCCCTCGAAATCTTGCATCTTCCACCTAACGTGTAAATACAAATGAAGTGGTTCATTTTAAAAAATGTACCCAACAATTGCTTATAAATACGAGTTTAATTCCGACTATCATTTGCAACTACATAAGCCAATTTGTTTAAAGCGAATGAGTCGTCGGCTACGAGAGAAAGATGAAACAAAATGGGACAGGGGCACAAAGGCGGGCCGGTAATTGGTCGTTGCTTTATAAATCGGCGATCAACGACGCGAACGCGTACGTACGTTCATTACGACCGGCTAATAATCTCTCTTCACGGCTATTATCGTCCGAACCACGAATTAACATCGTTTCCTCCAATTTACCCCTCCCTGGCTGTGGCGAAAAATTCGCTGCTCTTTTTTTCTCTCTCTCTCTCTCTCTCTCTGTCTTTCTCTCCCTCTCTGTCTCCACCGCGTGAAACAACCTCATCCCTTTCGAACGCACCGCACGATTTCCGCTTCGGTAATGCGCGCCAGACGCGCGGCGAGGAATCGGAATCGCGGCTTAATTATTTCCACGAATCGCAGCCGACGATTCGCGTGAATCGTCAAAGACCACAAGCTGCCGCGTAATCGGCAGCCAGAGATCTAGACAATTTTCTCGGAAATCAATTATTGTAATCTTATTAATTACACATTAATTAATAGCTCTCTACTTATGAAGAAATCTCGTATATCACATTTCTTCGTTCTTCCTGTATATTTTATTTCTATACTATAATCAATCGAGGGAATCATTTGATATTCCGTGAAAGAGCGTGCATTAAAAAACTACATAAATCGTTTAAATTCAAATTACAAAGCTAAATACACCAATGCAAAATTCCTGCTAAATCTAATGAATATGATTGAGCATGCCAACAGAGTCGTCGCGCGATTACGTCGCGGGAACGAATGGGAGTCGCGATAAGCGCGAGACGAAGTAGTTTTCGTCAGGATAGCTTAAAACCGAGGAGGGGGGTTTCACGATCGGTCCTCAGAACAGGGCTTTCTGAAAAAGCGAACGATCCGTCGCGTTTTTGCCCGACAGCGGTACGGGAACCTCGCAATCTCACCTTATCCCGGCCAATTATCGCGTATTCTTCCCTCCCCACGCGAACCAATTACGCCTCGCGGCGAGCGTTCCGTCGTGCCGTGACCTTTCCCTGCCGCCATGCTCTTCGGCCATTATTTATCCGAGCCGCGGATCTGCGGGCCCTCCTCGAACGTTTTAATTGTCCTCGAAACTCCGTGAACCGTTTTACTCGCGACACAAACTCGCTGAAGTGTGTAATGAAGGTTTAAGGCCGGTCGGTCGTTTGTAGCTTTGATTGAATTTATGAATTGACAAGATTTTTTTACTAATAAGTCTGTGCAGTAAAAACGGAAACAAAGATCTATACAGCTATATTTCTAAACGAGCTAATGCCAGGGTAACGAGCATGAAGTCCGAAGAGGGTCTCATTCGAACCAATTCACCCCTCGGGATGACGTTGCGTTTCACGTAGTCAGCCTGGTCCCTGGTATGGTTAAGTGAATGGTTAAGTAAGTAATTATCTTCTTGAGCACATAATCGATCAATGATTAATGAGATCGGCGATGTCCGATGCGGTTTCAATTAGAAAACGTCTGCGGCGGTCGTTGGTTGATCATTCCTCTATAGTACCATACACGTGGTCTTCTACCGTAGCGTGGACAGTTTTTAATTTCGTACTGTCAGTATTGTCAAATGAGTCTCGTCTATTATGTCTCATTTAACATCATTTCTTGCGTACGTTTATAAAACGCACGATCCTGATAAAATAGAAATTACTCGGAATTGTTTCTTTATTCCCGTCGGTGTATTAATAAGTTTGTATGCTCAGAAATCAAGTCGCGAAGGAGATTGTGACATCCGTAAACGACAGACGTCCACACCCAATAGTCAAACAGATTAACTAATTCAGTTCCCCGTCACTGTCGACCCAGTAAGCGTGCCGGCTGTAAATGTAGCCTAAATCGTTCGGCAAACAAGCATGACAGGCACAAACTTTCGCTCCCCCGACGTAAAGATCGTGTTTCACGCGTTTCAAAGCGTGCACACGCAGAGATTCACGCGCCCATGGAAGGCCCACGGTCGGAATCGCGTACGATACATGTGTTTACGTTGCACTTACACAGTCAGCTTACTTGCACGCCGTGGCTCCGGTCCGCGCATTCCTATTGGGGGGAGGGCTGCTTTTCATTCCATCGACTTCCGGTCCTCGCGAACCTACCTTTTGCCGCAGGAAGCGCAATTATATTAACCCCGATCTCACGGGCTCATCGCAGCGCTCGTCTCCCGCCGCATTGCGTTCCGTTGTTTCACGGATCGATCCGTATCTGCGAACACAGTTTTCTTTATTCCACGTTTCTTTCGCTGCTGTTGTTTCCGTGACACCTTTCTTCCGGTGACACGCGTACTGATCTTCCCATAGAATCGCTGTTTTACACGGTGATCTTCGATGATACTGCGTAATCATGGTAAATTACGCTTCATGCTAATGCAAAAGATCGTGTAGACGTCAAACCTTGGTTTCGTTCCTTCGACTGGCACAAAAAATTCGAATACTTGCACGCGTGAAGGGATCGCACTACATATTTTCTTACACTGTCGGTTGACCGTTGAAATCGATTCGTTTCCGCAGCAATCGGTAGATCGTTCGTGAACAGTTAGTGGAACCCCGTCGGAAACGCAGAGTAGACCGTCGATCGGGGAAACATTAGCCACGGTCGTTAGTCGCGGTATTCCGTCCAGCCACGGGGCATTGAAAATCGAATTGTCGCGAGGGTAAATAAAGCGCGTCGTTCATCCTGCGGTACGCCGTTATCCCAACGACGACGGGCCATCGTTAATGGGGCTCTGTCCCAGAGGGTCGTCGCGTGGCGGTGCAGCGGCTTCACGACATTGCGTGCCACTATTCACCAGCGAACAACCTCCGTGTTGTTCATCCTTCCTGCACGCGTCTTCTACTCTCGGTGAATCTGTGATCTTCCTTCCTGTTCCCAAACGGGCCAACCTGTTACTGTCCCATGCTTTCAACCATTTCTAATAGACTGTAACAGAGAAAATTTATTCCTTTCAATTACGATTTCACCAGTTAAAATATTCTTATCAGATGTTGTCAATCGTCGGATGACAGAATACGAGATAAAAAATGTATTGGGTGATACTCGTACAGGTGCCCTTAGTCTGTGGTAAAAGGGTCGAACGCTATCTTACAATTAACCAAGTCGAAGGGTCGCGTGGCACACGCCTACTTGACAGTGGAATATTGCGTGCAGCTTTTTATGAGAGAGTCGCCGACGGGCGAAGTCGCACATCTTCCATGCACGCATCGATACCCTTTGACGCTGAATACGTACGCGAGAAGTATGTTGTTCACTTTCGAAACTCATCGGCGTACCTTCGCATCATCCGGGCGCGGTCCGGCCCGTCCGGCTCGGCGTAAGCTCGCAGGTGGTCTTATTCTTATTCGTACACGGTGATACCGTGGTGCTTTCACTTTGCCTCGGCATGAAACTCCTGAAATATCGTATTTTACCCGGCTGCGATCGGTTTCTTCATGTAAATGATACGAAAATCGTGTGTCGACCTCGGAGCCTCACCGATCCCCGGCTCGGTACTCGGTACGCGCGAACGCGCGTCTTGCGATGGGTTTCACTTCCACTGGAATCTCCTTTAAGACGTTCCTTCTGACAAAATTAAAATCCGTTTCAAGTTAGGATCGTCTAATCATTTAATTGCTTATGACTAATCTTGGTCTGATTCACGATTTTGTTAAACAGTGCAATCAAGGAAATTAAGTATAGCTCTACTATAATTTGCATAATGCCTAATTATTTTTATGAATCATACCATCTTCCATAATTTACTGTTCGTTATCCTGAAAGAGAAGAAGAAGACACGAATGAAGCAATCTTGTACTCCTTTTTATCTCCTCAAATCAAATTCTTCCGCTTGAGGGAAACGGACGATTTTCACCATTGAAACGCTATCGTTATCGGAGCTTCATAATCCCGTCATCGAACGAGTGACATCCGAACGTGCCGCAGCGAAAGCATCGAACGACGATACACAGGAGATTAATGGAGAACGGTTGCGGAGATCTGGCTATACGTGACAGGATGTGAGCGACACTTCCTTTTAAGCCCTATAATAAGCCGTCGATCTGTTACACCTGCTGCCCCTCTGCTTAATATGCGCGATATAATTGCGTGAATCAGATCTCGGGCCATTAAGTAAAACCGGCGCAATGCTGAATCCGTTAAAACCTTTGCAACTGACTTTATTCGAGAGCTGATCGCATTCCCTTTTATACTTAAGATATGTTCAAGACAAACATGATAATTAGGAAAAAAAAATATTTCTGTTGCAGTGGTGATGCACAAAGACAAGGAAGAAAACTCGCACCACGATTCGCACTATCGGGCGAGGGAGCTGGCTGCGTTCGCCGCGTACGACCATCACCATCTCGACGGCGAAATGTTTCTCCAGGTGAGTACTAGAAATGAATTTGAACTTCGATTCCGCGTGAACGAATCATTTTCAATTACTCGCGGTGCGAGATACGTATTCGTCACGCGTACCGTAATTCATCCAATCTACGCTAGCGTTCGTTCATTCATTCTGTCTGCCGTGACTCGAGAAACGCAAATCGAAAACAGTTCGTGAGCCCGACACCCGATCCCCGGAATCGCGCGGCCGTTTTGGTTGCCGGCGATGCAGCGATGGCGAGAAGCTGCGAAGGAGGGCCGCGGTTTCGAAGATGAGAACAGGGCGAAATTAAATCATCGCGAGTGAGAGGAAAAGACAGGAGGAGAAACGATGGGGAGCGAGGGGAACGGCGGGGTGGAGGGATCGAGGGGGTGGGGAGATATCCGGCTGATGAACCGGCTATGAAACCGAGGCGTACGAGGTGTCTATTCCTCCAAAGTATGAAAGGGTATATACACGGATTAATGGCGGTGTATCATGCGAGGCTATTACGTTCCCTTTCCTGCGTTTTAGCTGCACATACACGGGAGAAACAGAGCGAGGGTGAGGCCGCACAGTGGGGGTATACGATACCGGGTTTATATCGGGTGGGGAAGGATGAAAGAGGAAGCGAGAGAGGCCGCGGGGCTGTGCGCAGAGAGGGATATAGTACCCTGATTCTCTCGCACGCGTGGTCCGTACGTACATATGTACGCATCGGCGCGATTCCATGCGATCGAACGATTCCTGCCAGTATCTATAACGGCCGGTTATTAATTGCCGGCTCGTTAATTGCGTTACGTAGCTCGTGCCACGAGCTCTGATCCTTCGACGGGACATTCTGACAGTTGAGAACGCGAACGGCACAACCCCATGCCGCAGGTATATGCCTCGAGCGGGGTGATAAAATATTTCAAAGTTTTCACCCTTCTATGTTATTAAAGAACGAGCCAATTAATATCAATTTTTAAAAACAAAGAAAACGAGGCTATTATTATCGATATCATTTTACTATTATACAATTTAATAGAATGCATGAATTCTTAAATAATTGCTGATAAGGAGAATAATAAAACCAAAACACAATGTGTGACACGCGAATATCTACAATGGTAGTAATAATATTCAGAAGGGACCGGGAATTAGTATTTAATAACAACGATCAATTTGGCAAAACAGCTTCTGAGAAGGGGGAATCCCAGGGAGAGTCGGATAAAAGTTTCATCCGCGGGCTGTTTCAATAATTCCACGGATAGACGGGGCGGGAGGGGTTACAGAAATTAACCGTTCGACCGGGCCTCGTATTTTCTATAATTCGTGGAGTTCCTTGAACCTGTCCAACCGAGGACTTCCCTCGGCCTCCTACGCTTTCTGTCCTCTCCTCTCTTCCCCCTCATCCGTCTCTTCTATATGTATAGGGCAACGTTATACGGCGTTTCGCCGATCCTCATAAAGTTTACGAAGCCCGACAGTAAATCCGGTTTATGACAAGCCGACCGCCACCACCGGACACTCACGAAATTACGGCTGAGCGATCGAATTTTTATACTTATCCCCCTCTCTTCCCAATTATATAGCGTTTTAAGCGGTGCTCGCATGCGATTCCATCAGAAGCATCCACCTTTCAGTACCTACTTTACACATTCGTCGTTTAATAAAATTAGCTGCGGAAATATGATTTCAGTCTTTAACACTTATTGAAATGATGATCCTTTTATCATCTCGATTAATTTTTTCGTGCATCAAATTAATACATTACTTAAAAACGAAAATCAGATGATTGCCTTAATCTGACAAATCTTGAACTGTACGTCTTGAAAATCATTGTAATTCCCTTCGTTCGATTGAAGGGGGTGAATGATTTATCACGAGACAGCTACGGTTTGGTGAATGGCAGAAATATAATATATAATAATATCGTTGCATAATTTAAATGAAACCGAGTTACATAGTCTGCTGGAATATTTAAGACAATTTCGCAGACAGCAATCGGCCAGTGACTCATGGAGATAGCGTGCAAACGGATACTTTCCCAAGCTGGATACTTACGATTTTCTCAGCGGCACGCGGATGCATTACTCGTGGCGGGTTTCCTAACGCTGGACAGTTAGCGCGCGTTTTCCAACACTTTCGCCACGAAAATTCCCGGTACAAAACGTAAATCCGCCGACGCGTCCTCCGTTGCCGCCGAGTTTTTCCGCGGATCAAATGAGTTAAATATGCATAACGAGGCCTGTCTTGGAGAGCTATCTTTATGACCGATCTCAATGAACAATTATTTATTAATAGTTCGTATCTAATGGATCACGCGACGATTTAATCACCGTAATACTCTTTTCTGCCATGATTTACGGCAATAAATTAAGTATAACTAATTCCCTTATAATATCGAAGCGCCTGGGAGTTCTTCAGAATTTCTCAGGTCCCGCGACGCGATGTTTTGCAGTTCTCTTGTGATTTAAAAGAACTTCAAGCAAATGTGAGAAGAGTCATCGTATACAATAATACTACTGTTGGTTTAGGTGTTACGAGCAACACAAACATCGTATCGGTATTAATCACTCGTGTTCGGGTCCAGGAACAGGTTGAAATCGTCGGGACAAACCAATAAAACACGCGTAGAGTACCTACGCGCTCACGGTTGCGTCTGGCAAAAAGGGATTTTTCAATCGGCGAGAAGAACATACTTTGCCAATCCATTTCTGCCATCTCTTGCAAATTATCACCCCGAGCAAAGCGCACGATACGCGCGCGCACCCCCCGTCGCGTGGGGCGCTCCTCTCTCTCTCTCTCTCTCTCTCTCTCTCTCTCTCTCTCGGCTTTCCTTTAGCTGAACTCGAACATACTTTTCTTGACATCGCAACCGCGGTGAATGATGCACCCTTGAAAAAAAGAAACACCGTCCACCCTTCCTCTTCTTTTTTATTCACCCTCCTTTTTTCTTCTCGTTTCTTCCCTTCGTTTGGACCGGAGCGTGGTTGATTAATATCATCGATGAGTCTGCGTTTGAATGAAATTGGATACTCCGTTCTCTCTTTATTGTCAAAGAATATTCGAAGCTCCTCACAAGATTCTCAACGGATGCAATATTAAAGCGTTGTATACAATGTATCCTCGTAAATTTCGAGGTGGGTCATCTCGTTTAGCGTCGGGAACAGGTGCTTAGCAATTCTCCACGGTACTTCTACGTGGCCAATTATCATCCCCATCGCCCTCTGAGCCAGCTCCGTCGTACTTTTTCCCAAAAGCGCGTTCGCACGGTCTTCGTTAAGAATTCATCGCGAACCTGTGAATTAACCGTAGGAGCCGAAAAATGCATCCCGGAGCGGTGGCGGTTTTCGTCGTCGGCGGCGAGTCGAGCCGAGTTTTTCGAGTCAGGTATACTTCGGTACAAATCACGCCTCTCGGTGACGTATCGCCGCGAAAGCAGCCATTTTGCTCTCATATTTTTTATTTAATAGCCAGCAGGCTATCGTGTATCGCATTAATACGCCAGCCACACCGCAGTAGCGGTAAAAGAGGGTCGTGGTCAGGAACAACCCCCGCCACTGCTAACCCGTAATCATAACCGAGCTATTTTTCTTCTTGCTGCCTTCCTCTCCCTTCCTCCTTCCACCTTTTCTCTCTTTTTTTCTCTCACTTGTATTGCACCATCGGTTCCAACTAATTCCCAATTGCCTGTTTGACGACACAAAGAGCGACAGTTCACTCACAAGAATGTCAGCAGTAGCTGTTACCCTCCGAAATAAAACTTGATGTTAGGTTTTATAATTTCGTCCTACGAAAAGTAGCAACGCTGTTCCGTTGTTAATATCTTACATAAAAAATTGACGATAGTATTTTATATAACGGGTAGGTTCGACTAAACAAATAAACCGCTGTAATTTTATCAATTGGCATGAGGTTGAGTAACGAAACGAACCGAACGTACAGTGGTAGGAGTGGAATATGTACATATATATTTTTTATTTTTCAAATAAAATCCGGTAACGAGTCGAAGAGGAAAACAGAGGTAAGACGAAGTTGAGCAATCAGCCAGGAGGCAGAAGGGGCCAGACATGCAAGCATCAGCAACAAGTAAAGAGCTTCGCGATCTGCTGCTCAAGTTGACGGTGAACACGCTCTTTCGATCACGGTTCGCCCATTGAACGAACCGCGAGAACATCTTCCTTAATTATTGATCTCTCCCTCGTATCCTCGTAGCGCAGTCGTATTTTATATAAAATATCAGAGCGCACGTTTAAAGGGATCATCGTATGTCGACGTAGTTTCAAATCGTGTTTTTGTTCGGTAAGCGAAATGGAGCACGTTGAAATTCGCTGGAAATAGTCACGTCCTTTGAATATTCAGTAACGAGAACGGACCTCGGGCCGCGGTATCGAGATTAATCAAACAAGATAGGCGAGCAATCTGCAGTTGCGATCGAAAACCGTCGCGCGCGTTGCGGAGACGAGTGATTGGACAGGGGCAGGTGTTGAAGCTCAGCGAAGAAAAAGACGAGCAGAGTGGATGCAGCAGAAGTACATACGTACGGCCTGTCTGTCGCCGATTAAAAGAACTTTTATTTTTATATCGGTTGTCGTGAAAATGGACGCTTGTTAAGAAGGCTCGCGTGCGTCGTGGACGCCACCGCGCAACGGAAATGTTCAAGATCGAGTTCACGGGATGAAATTAATTTTACTATTTAATTATATCATTCGAAAGCCGCCGAAACGTCGAATAACATTTTATGAATGACGCCAAACCGATACCTCGCGCAGGCTGAATGATTATTATTATTATTTTACAAAGAACCTGTTTTAACCCTGACGAAAGGGTGGCGCGTCGAAATAGCAATTTCTGCCCCGTGATTACGTTCCTTCATAGCGTAACGGCGGTTAAGACTGATAACCGGAAGCCGAGCGCAAGGGAAAACGAGGCGATCGGGCAGAGCGTAGCCCGAGCGTAGTGAGTCAGTGAGACACACGAGCTGAGTCAAAGGTAAAAGTAAGTGTAGGCTAGGCCGGCTGCATGGGATGGGATGATATGAGGTTAGGTTGGGCTCGCCTTGGTCTGGCACCGCTAGTCCTTCCCGTATTGATCGCGTGCTCCTTTCCTCCCTTAGATACCACCCCCTTTTGCGCCTTACGTATATTCGCCGTTACAGCATGTGCTCTTACTTTGGCGTCGACAACGACGAGACACCAAACCGTAGATCTCCGAATCGATTACGTTTCACCTCGAAATCATTTTGTCCGATCACGCTCTTTGAACCTTTGTTATTTCATACTCTTTCTTATCCCCCTGTTTGGTTCTATTTTGTACTATCCAATATTCCTTCAGTTCTCCTAATCTAATTTATTTGTCCATTCTTTCCATTCGGAGTCATGAAGTTTGCGAATTATGAATATGGTTCCACGAGCCAATCTACGCACTATGAGAATAACGAATGTCGTGAAGGAATATGAGTAAATTCACGAATTCTTGAAAGTATTTATTTATAATTGCAAAAGTGAAGATTCTTGCAATAAGCCAATACATGGCTGCCGCAAGAGGACAATGATTGCGTCCTTGCTGCGGATAGATGCAGATGCAATTAATCATTCTCGGGGCATTAGACGCCGGGCATGTTTTCAGCGGCGGACGTTTCCCGGAAGCGTATCAGCCGTCTCGTCCTTGCCGCGAGCGTGAAAAAAATCGTAGCGAAATTTTTTCCGTCGAGCCCCTCTGCCGCCTCCGACGGCCGATCTCGGTATTAGTATCGCAAGCTCAACCCCGAACCGCCCTGCCCTCCACCAGTGTCCATAATTAATTACGCTCGAGCATGAAACCCATCAGGCCGGACCCATTATCGTATTCATTATTTCATGCGTCTTATCATTCGAATATTTACGCCAGAATTTTCTTTTCTCCGGATTTTTTACTAGATGATTGATAGGGTTGATGGATGATTTTTTTCGTACTCCACTATCATCTTAATTATATGCAGGGTGAAGGTTATCAATTAATAAAACGTTTTCGTTGAACAAAACTGAACGTTGCGAAGTATAATTTATATCTCGGTTGAAATGAGTAGAGTGTTGCCTCGGAAGCGAGCTATGGTTTTACGACTCGGACTTCCTTAAGCAGAGGCGTAGCTCATTAACGCGCGGGATAATTAAATGTGCGATTGAACGAAGACATTTGTCGCGAACCGCTTTAACGATTTAATTAACGAAATCCGGAAAGCAATCGCGAAACGAGCCGGAGGCGTGGAGGAACACGGCGGAGGGCCATAAATTCGTGAAATTATTGGCCCGGCCAATGTTCGTGTGCGCGCCGTTGCCGTTGACGAACGAGAGAGAGACCCATTTTCGTTATCGCCGCGCGCCGGGCTACGCACACGGGCCACAAAGTTGCAGCTGGTGGACGGTCGCAATGCGCGTTCGACGGGCCACGTTTAGAGTGCGCACGCGAAACGAGACCGGACAGATTCTTCCGCCCTGGCGAACATCGCTCGCTCGAGGTGTTTTGAATTTCAACGAAGTAGGCGAACCGCGATTAGACGTCGACGCGTTCCCAGTGACTGCCGCGGCGTTGAATTTCTTTTCGCTCGGAACGGGGTTTATCGGTGTGTGACAAATTCGTGGCCGTTTTGCTCGAAAGCTTTCGGGTCGGCTGCCTCGAGTGCGAAGAATTGTGAGCTTGCGAGTTGGGGCCTGTGAAAAAATTATGAGGAGCTTTTGTATGAAAATCGCGATCTGAAGGTATCGCGTGTACCAGATATTATTCATGTATTGTCAGAGGAAAAGGGGCGCTGCTTATTCCGCTGATTTATGCAACCTGCTATATTAATTGCTGACACGTGGTGAATTATGTGTTAATTAAATCGCGGTATAATTGCATTTAGTAGCTGTTAAACGTATTCTCGCCGGAATGGTGGCTCATCCTATTCGTATTTATGAAATTCTGTGAAAGAAACTTTGTGTCGATTATCTGATTTATGTGTATACGTGTCGGGAAGCGAATTTATTAAGGTTTCACGCGAATTAACGAGGATAATACTGTGATTATTTTAATGCATAATAACTTGTATCTCATTATCTAAATTCATTATAAATTGTTGACTGTTATCAGATAAACTAGGGAAAGTATAAGTACAAATTGCTATTTAATATTAAACGGATGAACTAATTTGTGCAAAATTTTCTATGCAGAATTCTCGATCGGGAGAATTTCATTTAGAGATTAATATTCTCTTTATTATTTCTCTTAATCGCTAACGAGGGATCAACGGAGAACGTTGAGAATTTTTCTTTAAGAAAGAGAAAAATACGGGTAAAAAAGGTTAACGCAGCGGGGATATCACGTTTCTCATGATCGCCACTTCGCAAAACTCTCGCTCGGATTGATAGCGCGCAACTCGCGTGCCACTTCACAGTCAGAATTTATAGTTCCTTTATTATTTCGACTAAGCTGCCTTTAAGTTTCCGCACACGTAACTCGCTACCAATTTTTCGAGCCGCAATCTAATCGGCCCGTATATCAGTTCTTGCCACGTTTCCCTTCTTCGCGCGTACAATTTACGTTTTCCCGATCTCATACATCGCTCGATTCGAGCCAATTCCCATTAGAAAATGTCCGATTCCAGAAATTATCAATCCCCGAGCTTCGTGTGTCTCCTGTGCTCAGAGTTTTAAATCGTTAAATGCTAAGTTTCAACTACGAAAATTTCCAGCCTCGGGACGTAAATTTTCAAATGATCACTTTGCGCAAGTACACAATTCGAACGCTTGAAGCCTCTAACGATACATTCACGTGCGGTTTAAACGTGTTAACAATGGGCACGAGGCTGAACGGAAAATTGCATGGAAGGTGCAAAGGACCTGGAGGAAAGGAGAATCAGAAGGAACGAGGGAGATAGTCGCGGGGAGCCTGTAATTTCGATCCTAGTTATTTCTAGGATCTGCATACCGAACGGTCGTGTCCGTATCCATGACTTCTGGTCGCTTGCATGAGCGAACAAAATGGAAAGATTTCGTGCGTGAAGTATTATTGGCGACCCGCTAATACACGAGAGTCAAGGTGAGGATGAAGGGGTATTAGAAGTTCACGCTTGGACGGAACACGCGAGTACTCGCACACACTAGGCACGCGACTGATTCGCCCTGCCGGTCAGCACACGCGAGAAATAAAAATCGTTCGATTTTCACTCAGTTGTCGTCCTCTCTCCCTGTTTTCACCCTTCGCTGCTCTTCCTGGATTACCACTCTCCACTCTCATGTCCACTCTCAAGTAACGAATACAAATTCTACTTGGAAGTTTCAAATTCTTAAGCTACCAAACGATTAATTCTGATCTCTAGTATTTCTTCTTCTTATTTTTAATTGCTGAACGAATTGGCTTATCAGGCAAGTGGTTCAAGATGAAATGCAATCGCGACGAGTAGACAAATTCTCATGGGACATGGCGCGGTTTGCAGAAATGGCCAAGTCGGCCATTTCAAGGGGAAGGAGCCAGAAAATCCTATTATGGCTTATGTACGTGGTACAGGGGTTCGATTGAAGCTCGGGGTAACTCACCCTTCGCCCGGATCCGTATTGACGTAACCGCCGAGAAAGAAACCCACCCCTCGGATTAACCAATCAAATCGCAGCATCCGCCGCGCATGCGATCGCTACGATAGCCATGCTCCTCACTTTATCGGTTATGGTGTCCCTACCCTAGCCCAGAGACGGATTTCGGCGAACCTCTATTATAAGTAATCTACAAGCCCACAATCTTCTTTTCTATGACGTTCGATTCACCAACTTCAAGAATTTTTTATTTACTGATATTTCTTTCCGTTACAAAGACCAAGTTCAATGATTCAAACTTAACGAGTAAAAGATTATTCCGGGGAACAATTATTCCAGACTCGATGTAAGAGAAATTTAATGCGCTGCGGCTTCTTCATATTTCCGACCAATAAAATCCGTACCAACGTGCCTGGCACCGGCACCTACGGCAACGGATCGAAATAAAACAAAACAATACACGTTTAGCTCGGAAACAGACCGACGGGCACTTAAAACGACGACGCCCCCGCGCTACCGTTTCATCCCTCCAGAGTCGTTTAAACTAGGACGGATATTTCGGGCCTCGATACGGCGCGGCGTTCGAGTTCCGAGCTCGTTTTGGTATTCGATAGATAGGAAAACTTTCCGGGAATCGAGCTTTCGCCCATGTTTTCGAAAAGAGAACGAGTTTCAATTCGATTTTTCAAAGAAACGAGTCGTACCATCGCAGACATGTTCCTGTTTCATTTTTTTAACTAAAGCTCTGAATGAAATAATGTGTTTGATATTTTTAACGGGGGAATTTTTATTTCTAAAGAAGTGTAATTCGTCTGTTACAGGCGCTGAACGGCTTTCTGCTCATACTGACCTGCGACGGGGAAGTGTTCTTCGCCACTCACAGCATAGAAAGTTACCTTGGCTTCCATCAGGTACTTGTCCAATAAATAAACTCAGTCAATAATAATATTAAATTCGAAAACAATTGTTCGTATATGTATTTCTAAAATCGATGTATCTGTCATTTATGAAAAGATTGTATTTTATTATCAATGCTCAAGTCACCTGCACCCCTGATGTTGGTCTATATTTAGTCAAGCAGCGTCCACACCCAACATTCGCTAGTCACGCCAGGTCCGTCAGTTTTGTTCTACGTGTCACATTTACGCAAGCATCATCCCCTTTACATGACTTAACCGTTCATAGGACTTGTTTTAACAATTTATATATGTACGCAGATGAGGTTCGCAATTATAATGTCCGAGTATTGAAAAATATTCTGGATTAAGAATTCCACGTATCAAAAATAGAGACAAATTATTTCCATCAGCTTAATTGAGCAATAGTTATTTTACACGCATAATTCATATCAATTAGCTGAATTAAACTCGCCTTTCCAATGACTCAGAAAAGTTGTATGCCTGATCTAATGCAAAATGATGAGTCAGCTGCTTTTTCATCGGTTATTCCGAGTCTATACACAGTCTGTGCGTAAATTATGTCCTAAGGAGGATCGCGGGATCCCCGTGGTTACTTTAGAATTACTCTTAATTCGGAGGCTCTTCCGCGAGTCACGATAATGCCTGCCGCGACGTACAGCGTACGGAAGGGAGAAATAACGAGCGCGGAGGGTAAAAGAGCGTGGATTAAACGAAGAGAAGTAGAAGCCACTTTTGCGTTAGTCGTACTATCCGGAACAGAACGATATCGTTCTCCAACCCCCGGTGCGGTGAACGCACACCGAAATGCGATCCGCACGCAGAGGTACCCAGGATCACGCACGCGAAGATGGGCTCGATGCAACGGGAACGGTAAGAAAGGAAGAAGGGAGGAAGAGAGGAAAATAAATGACGGATGATGATTTTCCGACGCACACGATGACCGCGGCGGAGACGCACACGCGAACGCTTTTGTGCAGAAGATACACAGTGGCTAGAGTAATTGCAGGAAACGACGGATGATGATTTTCCGATCCGATGATCCCGCGTTTCTCTACTGCCTACCGTCGGACAAAAAGGGGGAAACGCGTTACAATCTCGCGTTTCTTGTAAACAAATTTCGCTGGGCGATCGCTCGGAACAACCAGCCTGCTTTTCCTCGTTCCCTTCGCACGCCCACGCATACATATGTATGTATGTACGTAAGCCTAGACGCGATGACTGTGAATCATCCTCCCCCTTGAGAACTCCCAGTTCCTGCGGTCTCTCAACTATTTCATGAAATTGTTCATTATTCTATGTTTCTGAGAGATATATTCTCGGGAATCATGAAAATAAAATAACTGAAAACAGAAATTCTCGAGAATCCTTTGAAGTGCCGATTTGAAATATGTTCCCAATACGTACCAGTTGCTCCAATCACTGTTAATGACTAATTTGTTTGTATCTACACGTAAGTATGTATAAGCATGGTTTGGCGAGTTGGCAAGAATAATTCCCCGGCCCTCGACTTCGCGGCCGGCATTCATTGAGACGTAACCGGGCACGCAAACGGTTCACACACACGTCACGATACACGGGGAACGATGATTTTTCGTTCCGATTACGTTATATTTAAGAGGGACGAAGAGTATCGCAGCTAATAAACGGCAGGATTTTCTCGACTCTCAGTGAATTTTCATAGTACAAACTTTTAATTTATTGATAAACAAATAAGAATACCGTTTTCCTCACTTATCAATTACAATAATTTTATTGATTCATGCATTGCATTGAATACACTTTACATCGGGTTATTTAAGTTTGGTGTCAATCTCTACTAGTTTCCTTTCAGAATTTTCGTCGAAAGTGCCACACGAAGCTGTGAATTATCACGAGAAGCTGTCGGTCCCACGCTGGGGTAGCTCGATGAGGACAGGTGCCGCGTAGCATTACCGCGTCATTCGAGACGTGCCACGATTACGTCGCGTCGGATACACGGTCATCGAGTCAGGAAGTCATCGGCAGTACTGGCTTTTTCTCTCATTACAATGCAACTATGTTTTGCGTACAGTTTGCGTGTCTCGTTACGTTTCAATGGATACATTCTAATAGAAGAGGTGGTGAAGTCTTTCGATAAGTCATGAAAGTGTAAAGTTCTTGTGTAAAACCAAAAAATGAATTGTTATTCAATATAAAATTTATTTGTGTTTATATGAAAAACGATTATTCAATGCTCCGAAGTGAAATTGCCCTCTCTGTACCATAAACTTACTTTAAAAGAGTGCAAGGGCCCGGAGGTTGTTCTCATTAGAAATCAATCGAGCGCGTTAGGCTCAAGCCCTGGTTTGGTTCGGTTCGCACGCGTTGAATTATGTGCCACATTTTGACAATTAATAGCCGCTAATGAAGACGCGATTGGCCCGGCCCCGAGGCCCTAATCCCTCTTCCCACCGTCTTCGAGAGACCACTTTGTTAGGTAGACGCAACGGAGAGATTCGAGAGGGGTTGGAGGGCGCGTCATAATTTTACGGGGGTAATTGAGAGCTCAACATTCGGTATCGCCCGGCGTTCCGGTTCGCATTATCGCGTTTATATACCGGCGGGGCTCGGGTCCGGGTCGCACAAAAACGCGCGCGTGTTCTCGTGCCCGTGGGCCCTCGCGAGGGCCCGGCAATGAGAGGTTTCATACGCGCAAGCCGGGCCTCGTGGGGGAAAATGAGAGAAGGTGGACGTCGGCCGGGCATTCGATAATTAATGCGGCCCGCGGATTAATTATTATTAGCCGGCTGATTTGTTTCAATTTGTAGAAGGTCCTTTGATCGCGCCGAATCGTGTTTCCGTCGATTTCACCGGGCGTCCCGGCTGATTTATCTCCTGTGGCTCGAGTCCCTTGGGACTTACGCGAACGCGACCTGCTCGATACCGTTCTCGTTCTCCTCGCATGTTCCGCGAGTGCCTCTAATTGGAAAATCAAATTTTATTCACTTGGTAAATCTTCGGAGATAAAAATATTGTATACTATGCTTGATATTTAATAAAAGACCAGGAGAGAAACGAATCTCCTCTAAATCGTTATTTTCATTGAACTGTTGCTCCAGAAAAATAAATATTTAAGATGGTGTCTGTCGCCATCGGTCTTGTCCTCGTTGTTCACCGACATGAGTCGTGAGTCTGGAAAGAGGCCTCGGATGCTGAGAGTAACTGGACTAGCAGACGGGGCAGAGACGGCGGCGGCGGCAAGCGCGGGGCACGGGGCGGTGGAAAGGAGAGAAAAAAGAAAATAGAGCAAAAGAAGGCGAGGCCTTTCGCATTCTTCGCAGGAATGTAAATCAAGCCTGCCAAGGGAGCGGGACCGCTTCGATGCCGGCGGGGGTGCGCTAGCGTCTCCACTAAATAATTACAAGCTCTTAATTAACGACGAGGGCCGATCGTAAAGCCATCCACGAGTCGGCCGCTCCGTCCCGCGGATGCATGTTTCGAGATTATTTAAACGAGCAATGGTAACAAACGTTACCGGACCTTACCGGCAAACCGCCCGTTGCTGCTAACTGGCTGCAACGGGGGGAGGGAGAAGGAGAGCCCGGGAACGAGAAAGATAGTTCTCCACGGGGAAAAATAAATGTGAGCGAACTCGGCCCCGGCGCGGAAAATAAAAGAGGGCGGGGTCAACGAATTTTGTGTTCCTCGAACACCTCCGCTTCCCAACCTCTCTCTCTCTCTCTCTCTCCGTTCCTCGTTACACCGATTAGACATTTTTCGGCAGGCTGACTAATATCCTCTGGGAATCGACGCCGTGGCTCGCGTGAGTCATTCGACGAACGGCGAATGAGAGAAACCCGGAGAATTAATCGAGGAAAATTCCCTTTCATAACATTAGATAGGTTTTTAACTCTCTTATGATTCATTCCACATCGTTATCCTTTTCATCGGCAAACGTCGGAAAGACTTCGGACGCGGTAATCGAAACTAACAAGCGTGTTTCTCGAAGACGGCGCGACGCGACTCTCGGGCGTCGATATAATGCCATAAATCACGCGTCGCCGGGATAAATCACATATTAATGAAAATTACACGTACGCCCGTGGCCGGCCGTGGCCGTTCTTGATATACGCGGGACAGGGATCGTGGACGGGAATAAAATTGGCCGAGCCATGTTGGCGGGGCGGAATAAAGGGCAACGCGGAGCAATTACACGTCGAGCGTGTCCCAATGAAGTATGGCTTCAGTGGTCCGGCTCTCGCCGTGATATTACCACGGAAATCTTGTGTAGAAAGGGTTTTAATTAAAATTAGAACAAACGGAACTGCGACGCAGCAGGGTTACAGACTAGGGAAACGTTCCCTGAATTCATCCCGGACCCTGTGGTGAACCCGCTTCGCGGGACACTCGTCCCCTTTCCAAGTAACGCTAGGCGTCCCTGCGATTTCGCGCTGAGCTCTTCCATATTTATTGAGAGATCGAGTTTTACGAGCCTCTCACGCTCTTTTTTCGTCCCAACGATTTTCGACGTTCCAAATTATTACGAGTAATTGAGCAAATAATCGTTTTTCGAATTGTACGAATCTGAAGAAAGTGAAGCTTCGTATTACTCTCGAGAAGGCCAGGATTCTGTTTAGTTCTTTAAGAAATCGAGCTTTCGGTCGGAAGAACGAATATCCTATTATCGTAGACAGTTAATATCGTAACAGAGGGATGGTGTGAGTAACATGGAAGTCGTGAGATCCGTGCACCAACGACACGAACGTTACGAGAAGGTGCACAGCTCTACGTGCAGCTACGCTGTTCCGGCTATCGGAAATGCAACGTACCTCGGTTAAAGCTCCCGTTCCCTTCTATCGCGTGATTTATTATATTATTCCCGGTTACCGAGCCCTCGGACAACTATGACCAGCTAATGGCCTATCGCGACAATTTGACCGGCGCCGTTTCCCTTCGAGGCTAACGCTGCCCATCGGGGAAATTATGCGACCAAGCTGAAACAGCTTCTTTTATGCTCTTCACGACGGTCAGACATTCAGTAGTAAAACGGGGAATGTTAATCCATGTACATTTTGCCAGTACATTCTTTTATCCTTATAGAAATACATTTTAGCGCACTTTACTTATCGTAAGATCCTACTTTCTTTTTTCAATGGGTAAAGGGAAATTATAAATGAGGTTTTATTAAAGTAGTTTCGGACTGTATTCCTAAATTGGTAAGCCTATAGTTTATCGTTTTACAAAAAAGGTGTTGCCGTCGTCGTGGCTCCTTGTTCCCTTAGATAACAGTTGTCCGCAGAGGCAGACCACGGCTTCTCCCAGCTGAAACATCGCGTCTTCCTATTTCTACAGAGAGCTTACACGGTCGTTGAGTTCGTAGCAAGCCAGCGTCCGTATCATTTCCACCGGCTGATTTATTGCATTATTCCAGGCGTCGAAAGCCGGGAACACAACCGTGGCCACGGCGGCGCAGACCGAGGCCTGTTAATTCGATCTATTTTCTAGTGTTGGCTCGAGGCGAAGGGTGCGTGGTGTGTGGACCCGATTATCCGATCATACGCGCGCGAGGCAGAGCGGACGATCGAGGGAGACGGAGAGAGCCGGCCGGGAACTCCGGTCTCTTTCCTTCTGATCGTTTTTCTTAGCCGAAGGAACGAGGAAACTATGGGTTTCTCGTGCGCACCGTTCTCGGGCTCATCGTCCGTCGCTCCGGCTAGGCCGGATTAATTATGCGCGATAAAGTGCGTCGGACACGTGTAGCTACATGTGCCGTATGTGCGCCTATGTCGCCGTCGCGACGTCACGACCGATCAGATATTTCCTGAAATAATGCCGCTGCCTTTTGCACCGGCGATTCCTCCTTCCTTACGCCCCCTTCGCCTCTCGTTCCGCGCGCCGCGAATTGCACTGCCGCATCGCGTTCGGGGGTGGCTTAAGCTTCGCCGAAGAAATTCACAGAATGATTCTTTAGAAATGATACGGAGGTAAAAGTAAAGGAAGCTTGAATGAAATTCAGTGATCAATTTACGTTTCGCAGATCGCAAATCTTTAGTGATTAAGCATTTCAACTTCGAGACGTTCATCCTTGATTCATTATTATTCTCTTGATGTTCTATGATTATATAATTGGATATAATAAAAAATTGAAAAAGTGTTGTATGTGCAACGTGAGAATACAAGATTCATAAATCCTCAAATATACAAATGAAATATATTAGATTTATTGTTCCATGTTGCAAAAAATTTGCAATACAAAAATATAAAAATGAAAGTGCATGTTGTAATATATAAAGAAAAATAAAAATATAAATTGCACTTTAGCAGAGCGTGGTTTCGATCCACGGACCTCTGGGTTATGGGCCCAGCACGCTTCCACTGCGCCACTCTGCTTTTGTAGCCAATACTTTCTTATACTAACTTTTTTCAATTATAAAAAGTGAATGTAGTAAGTAAATCAATAAGTTTGTATGATACCAATTGATATTGGTACAAAATTATTAATACTGACATAATATTGAAACATAAGAGTTTATTTACTTGCACATTTCTTTACTGCATAATTACTTGTAACATTCTCTATCAAGCATTTTGTACATCTAGCAGAGGATATCTATCATATTAATATGAATAAATATATAACAAATAACACATCGTCAAACACCCTACGATATCTGTAACTATAAAAAATTTTGTGTAATCGTCATTGAAAGAAAAGCATCCATTTTCTACTGTACATTTACTAAATGAAATAGATTAAGTGAGTTGTTCCTTGCCCTACCTGCTGGGAAATCATGGGAAAATCGTTTTCCACGAAGCAGAGTGGCGCAGTGGAAGCGTGCTGGGCCCATAACCCAGAGGTCCGTGGATCGAAACCACGCTCTGCTAAGGGATGTTTCATATTTTTTCTTTTTCTGAATCACCAAAGTCCTACGTGCAATCCTTGCTTCTATTTTATTATACGTAAGGTGACAAAAGATTATGCGATACCTTCTTTCCAACGTTTTAGGATGTTTCATTTCCAACGATTCATAATTAAGGGTGTATCGGCTATACAGTCAATCCCAAAAGTTTATACACTTTAGAAACGCATTTTTTAAAAAGAAATCAGACGTCGGAAGAACATTGCTACTAATAAACAACAAAAAAAAATTTTCGATTTTTCCGAGATTTTTCCAAGGGG